GTTTAAGTGGCTTGTTTCCAAAAAAATCCAGGCGGGTGTGCTGTGCACCCGTCTGGTCCGGTGGTGGTTCAGTTCCCTCCGGATTATCCCTGGGCCTCCTTAGATTAGGTTTATCGTCTCCGAAAAAAAAAAAATCAGATTCAAAGCTTCAAGGGGAAGCTACTTCTTTTTATTATTATTATTATATGCCATGCCATTATGCAGTAATAATGAGAATCAAACGGCTACTATCGGGTGTCATAGTGAGGATCAATTGTGGGGGACAACACTACTTTAGTTTGTGACTCGGATTATTTTTTATTGCAAAATTGATGCTTTATCATGATTTTCTGTACCCTTTACGAAAATAGAGATGAATTAATTATTCTCCTTTTATTTATTTATTTTAACAAGTAGATTATCTTCTCTTCCATTTTTACTCATTTTACCATTATTCTATTACTGAGGAACCTTAAAAAGCTGTTCTGATAATAATAGTAAAATTGGTTGTGCAAAATGTTGCTGAGTTGTGAGTTAGATGATTTAGTTAAAAGTACAATTGAACCATGGTGAGCTTCGTGGGAAAACAATAGGCGACAAAAATGATAAACAATCTTGTGATTGTGGTTGGACGTAAGAAACTATCCGTTGCCTTAACAATTGACAAATGTTTTTCACCGTACAAAATTGTGTGTTTTTGTGTGTGTCTCTCTCTATATATATATGTTAAAAACAAAAAAAAAAAGATTATTTAGATCCGATGGGATCCAATCCCTTTTAATTTTTCAAAACTTAGATTTGTATCATGGCATGGACATTTATTCAATAGAATATTGTATAATATGCAACTTTTGCTGAACATAAAGAAAGAACTCTCATGCCTGCATAAACACTATATATGATTAAATAAGTTCTAGTTATTTTCAAATCGATCAAGATCGCGGGATGGTTGAAATAGAAAGTCATCGTATCTGTATGATATATATATATATATATATATATATATATATATATATAATAGCTACAAACACGTAGTTGCCTTGAAGTTGCAAAAGACCAAAATACTCTTGCTGAGACACATGCCTAGCATATCCGCATAAAGTAAGAATTTTAAGATTTTTTTATTTGTATAAAGTGAAGGAGAATTTTAAGATTTGCAAAATAGTTGCTTATATCTTTCTCAAGCTCTCAAGCGAACATCAAACTAGACCCCATGATACTAGTACAAGATTTGTAAATGTTCACAAAAAATAACAGTAAAAATTGTAGAACTCTAAAAAGCCATCAAAAGAGATGTTGTATTTTACATGTGCAATGGATGATTGTGAAGTATTTTTGTGATCATAGTGTTATCCCATATATAGATATTAACCAAACTAGAACAACAAAGGGATGAATATTATATTTCTGTGAAACCACTGGAGATTTTCAATTAATTAGTTGACTTAATCATGGGGAGCTTTTCCATATTTTACCTTTATATATAATAGGGTATAGTTATAATTTCATCTACTGACATTAGTTTTGACAATTTTCATTGTTTTTTCAATTTAATTCAAATCATAAGATGTTATGTTTTGAAACTACGGAGAATTTTTCTATATATTCGCTTAATCACACACACATGACTTTTTTGTTTTTCTTACCTTTAACATATATATGGTTTGGTTTGATGAGTATGAACTTATGGTTCGTTTTGATATATGTATAGATGATTGTCCTTTACTCAGGAGTCTTTTTGATGCTGTCTTCATTCTTGGTTTTCTCAAAAGACGCTGCTGTCTTCATTCTTGGTTCTCTCTCTCTCTCTCTCTCTCTGTTTTTTTTGCAGACTAGTTCATCTTTGTATATTTTGTCTGGACATTTTGTTGAGATCGATTTTATGACGACGTTTTTCTTTTGTCTGAATATTACTTATGGGACAAAAAACTTTATTAAGAAAATCAACATTTTTCTACGACTCTGGTGAGGTAAATTTCTGTTGGGACTCTTGTTTCTGATTCAAGTCTACATGGTATATCATCAATTTCTCGTTCAAATTGCCTACCTTTTGAACATGTGGTTTGATTTTGATCGCTTGCTAACTATCGTTTAAGCGAAGAATATAATTAATCTTATACTGAGTGTGATTTTGTAGCATACCCAATGAAAATTAAGTGGAGGAAAAAAAATACTAAAGAATAGTTTTGGATTGCATTTTTCTAAATTTTTTTAAGAAAAATTATTGTAATAATTTGATATATGTGAGATAAAAAGTTGATTGGAAAATATGTTTATGAAAAACGTAATAATTTTTCTTTGAAAAATTACTATCCAAACAAGGCCGTGTTTTTTTGTTTTTCTTCTCTTTGATGAAATATAGGAAAACATAGATGAAGCATTTGAAGTGTTTCACGAGAGAATAACGCACTTCTTAGCTCTAAAGCATGCCACCTAAGTTTTTTCCTTCTTCAAATGTAGCTATGGCTACACTTGCATGCATGCAAGAGAAATTATGAAATGAAATGGAAAGAAATAGTTGTACTGGAAACAGGTAAAATATTAATGTACAACCAGGAAATAATCCAACAACAATGTATCAGTTTTGCTGCACCCTTTCTTTGAGTTCATTTTATGGCCTCCTCAAAAAAGAGTGCTCTTAATGGTGCCTCTTGTGAGTCGTCCGCGTTTAAACATCATAGAGAAAGAAATTACTGTTGAAATTGCCTACTCATAGAGATAAAATGGCAGTTTGCCCCCCCTAGTTTTCATTTGTTCCAATTCCTAGGACTATTGGCTCTGTACAACGGAATTGCTGTTTCTAGCTCCTAGGGAAATGCTTAACTCAGCTACAGTTATCAGAAGTTTATTAGTTTTTTGGCTATTGCATTTCCACGTCCAGCCACTTCTTACTAAATGCATGCACACGTAGTAATCTTAGACCTGATGCATATCGCTGAATCAGCTTTGGAAATCTCTTTCCTGTATACGTAGCATTCATCACAGAAAAAAGAAATGTCAATATTTCCTCCTTGACCATCAATCTGATTCTCAGGAAATTGTGAATTATATGCGCAGACCTCCACAAGCAGGACACAAGACTAAGAATCTGATCATGGACTACTGTCAGGGCTTGAACTGTCGCCTGAAATTTAAGCATGGAGAATGTAAATTGGGTAGCTGATGTTTTGTGACAGCAAGGTCCTTTGATGAAGTTTGTGTCTCTTTGGTATGCCCACCTGCTTATCTTTTGCCTAGTTTGCTTAATGATTTATCAGACTTAAAAACAGTGGCTGATACCATCTCAACTTTACTGTATTGGTTTATCTCAACTTTTCTAATTATTCCAATATGGTCTTTTTCCTTTTGATTCTTCTCTCTCACCGTTGCTTTGTGCAGCTGATACCATCAAGACTTTTCCTACCTTTTCCACGGCTATACTCACTGCGTATCATGTATGTTTTAGACTTTTGAGTCAAAACAGTGGCACTGAATTGTTTTTCTCAGTTCTTGAATGTTGAAAAACCAGTTCGCCCCTAAACATCCTCTCTTCAGTGTTCTTATTTTCCCTCATCTCCATCAACTATCTATATTTCATAGATTTGATAACAGATCAACGTAAGGCTGGATGATTACGTTCTTAATCTTTGTAATAACTTATCTTTCGAAGTATATATATAGAGCCTGCATGTGCAGTAATGTTTCTGCTACTTTCAAGAAAGGACATTTTGAGCAATAGACAAAAATTTCTTCTTAAAACTGTTTCTGAATATCGCGTGGATGTTACCTTCTACGTACCCTAAATTTTACACTAATTGAAAGAGTATTGGAACCCATCATTTGGAGCTCATGCCCACGGGCAATGGATGAATATTCAAAGAGGACAAACTGTGCGATGCTTTTGCGAATAGAACAAAAATTAAGCACTGGATCAAGAAGTGATATTAGCTTTGTGGTCAATTTACTTCATTGGCTTAGAAAGCTGCCTTACAAATAAACTTTGCCTCATGATTTCTACTGTTATATTAGACACTTGACATGCTTTTGGCTTTGTTAAGCGAAGATACATATAGGCTTGTTTCTTCTTCTTCTTTTTTTTTTCTTTTAAAGTAATGATTCTATCATCTAAAAGAAATTAAGAAAATATGATTAATTATTGAAGCACATCACACTGTAATTAACTTTCTTACACGATTCAGCATAATCTTAAAAAACATTAGGAATTCATCTAGAACTCTTTGGAGGAATGGTATCAAGTAATAACACCAATCTTCATAAAGTCTAGACTTTACTTTAACACCTAATTGTGTGTTTGTTACTATCATTTCTTGCTTAAAATTATACAGAAAATCATGTTATTTTCAACACAAAATTGTGCATTTGTTACTATCACTTGGATGCCTAATGGTAAACTACAAAATCATGTATGTCTTCAACATAACCTCCTTTAACTACTTATTATTTGACTTTAAAACATAGGATCTCTTATCCTTTTCACTTGTGTGAATTTAATTCCTCATAATTTAAACTTTAACACATTTGGTCCCTCTTGCTCATAAGTATATCATCTTTTTTGTCATTCGTCGCTATTTTATCTATATCCTACTCTATTCTAATTTACCTAAGGGGAGGCCCATCTGGACTTATGGGAGGTAAGTGGAGACTGAACCACCATCGGACCAAACGGATGCACTACGCACCTGTTTGGATTTTTTAAAAGAACCACATAGTATGGCAATTGGTGGAAGGTAAGGTTTGAAACATTGACCTTCCACCCCACCAAGCTCAAGGCTGTGGTTCATAAGTATATCATTTGGTGTGTTAAATGATGATCCTTCTAAAATTATAGAAGGCCAAATATGTCAACCATGAAACATGAAAGACGATAGAACAATGAAATGTAAACCGCGCAAACCAAAGATATCATTACACCTACTTAGGTGACTAAATTAGAACTAATACTGAACATAAGGGACTAAGAATGCAATTTCCTTCCAAATGAGGCTTTCTCTGTTTTTATGCTAGTAGGCGTGTTCATCATTGGAGACAAAGAAACGCGTGACCGTTGCAACACGCCTTTAAGCCAGAGCGGCCATTCATAATTCAATATCAGGTCTCAAAAGAAAGCGGGATTTTGCAAATTCGAAGTTCATATGTTGCTTAAACCTTGAAAGCTTTTCGAAACCTCCAAAGCTAACAGAAAAATTTTGAGGATCAATTTTCCACTTTTTCTCCAGGTATGACTACTTTTCCCACTTCTTGTCTATATTGTTATTTTTCTTTTTAATTGTTTTAACTATCTTCTTTTTCTGTTTTTGTGGACTGTGTTACTGGGTTTTGGATTCTGGGATTAGTAAGTTAATTTAATGATTATTAGTTTCTGGGAGAAAATGCTATCAAGCATTTCAGATGATATTAGACCACCTGGATTTCATTACTGAAACTCTTTTTTTTCCCGCAAAATGTTGAATTTTGGATTCTAAGTATTCATCTTGAATAAAGAAAGCATCCCGAATGTTGTTTTATATTTTGGTTCCAACTGGTTTTGTGGATATAATAGGTCAATATTTGATTATTTTCCATTCGATGGGACGGAAATAAAATTGGGAAAGTAAAATTCTCGGCGAAGTCAGGAGGTATTTTTCTAATAAGCTGCTTTGATGGTAAAGTAAAATTCTGTTTTGTGGGTTAAATACCGGAGCTGATATAAGGGATGCCAGCCAAAAAATATACTGTAGAAGAGAGATTTTAACGACTGAGTTCTTCCTTAACCTTTTAATGTTTGTCATGTTTGAGTGTCGAAGCTGACTATGCTCTGAAATTTAGTTCAAGACTATGATCTGGATTTTTATTGTCTTTCATTTCTGTTTCTTGTTGTTGTCACTCCATGGGCTACTGTTTTTCTCACATTGGAGAGTGTTGCTTAAGGGGATCAGTAGGGTTATCTTATTGCTTACTTCTTAGATTTCCTATTTCAATTCACTAGGGTTTATATTAGTATACTAACAACTTAGTAATACATTCTAGCATTGCTATATTATCCATTGCATATAAGCTCTGATGGATGATTAGATAGTTTTGTCCAGTTACATGTAGAGCTGTGTTGTGCCATTCAAAAACTTTTGCTACCATGGGTCCTTATGCAATAGAGTTGTGCAAAAAAAAAAAATTTTTTTTCCTCCCTTTTCTTTTGGTTCCTATATTTAGATGCATCTCATTATTTCTTATGGAGCTCATTTTGATAATGTAGTTTCTATAGGAATGGTTAGTGGTCTTTTTGTTTTGTATTGTAAAACTTGCCTAGTCTAGATTCCATCCTTTTCTCATTATGATCTTTGCACTTCTTGATTTGTAAAATACACTTGTTTACTTTCTGCAAAGATGAATATCTTAGTTTATTCTTTCTGTTTGTTTATATTATCATTTTATTAGCTTGATAGAATAGATGTCTTAGTCAATACTAAATCTTTGTTGAGATCAATTAGATGCTGTAGTTTATGCCCCAGAAATTCCATGAGTTATTCTTTTACTTTCTTGTCCTTTTCTTTTCCTTCCGTGAATTCCTTGCAACTTTTGATTTGTGAGCATGAGTTGGTTTAACAATGTACTTTCTTAGCCTTTATGTGTAACCTGACAGAATTAATTGGCGTAGCAGAGGCTGATAGTGTAATACTTGCATCAGATGTCCAAATCTTTCTGCTTCATTTTCACATTAGCAGAGAGATCTTTCTCTTATATGAACTTGCTGGGTCCTCTGGTCAGATCCAAAATTTAGCCCGACAGTTCCTGGAATTTTTTGGTTCTTGTTTTACAAAAGGAGATTTCAGGTATCCTTTCTTTTCATTACTTTGGAAGAGGAGAGAGAGAGAGAGAGAGAGAGAGAGAGAGAGAGAGAGAGTAAATCTGCTTTTTTCACTCTGTTTTTGAGAAAAGATCAGTTCCACATTCAGCATGCCCTCCAGGAATTAAGATAGCACAACATTATTCTATTAAGAAAATAATGTGAATAAAAAAGCTAGGATAAAACAAATCTATCACGTGCATGACTCGACGTTAGTAAAAAAAAGGAAAAGTTTGATGATCAAATAAAATGATTAACACCTAAGCATTCAGAAGGTGAGCCCAAAAAAACAAAGGCATTCAGAAAGATTCACTACCTATAGTCACCATGCTGCTTTGTGCAGGTAGGTTGAGTTTCTAGCTGCATTAGCCATTCCAGTAAAGAGCTTACGCATCATTGAATCTTTCTTTCTTGGTAAAGTAAATTTCGATTTGGTTTATTTCATTTTTGTAAAGCTACAGTAATATAAATTTTGCTTTGCGTAATATTACGCTTGCTCTAAGCGTACATGTTCTTTAACTGCATAAGATACTATTATGCCCAATGTACTTGAAGCACTTCGTCTGGCAGTTATTGTCCATATTGGAAGTGACCAATGGAATATTTTTCCTTTAAACACTTTAAGATAGTGAAATTGGCTTGGCCACCAATACCACTTAGAAACTTTATTGTCCATGGAAACAGGAAACCGACTTTATTAACTTAACCTATTTCACCCAAAGTCCCCAGAGGGACATGACCTGCCCATGATTAAGGTGAGTCATTAATTTAGATGACATTTTGTTGTTTTTGTTAATACCCTGTATGTGTAGGCAGCTTTTGCTGAATGCTGCTAATGATAGTGATAACATCAGTATTTGTAGAGTTTATTCAAGTCTGGATATTGGTTGCTGGTTATGTAGGGTTTTTTTCTTTTTGAATTAACTAGCAGCACTCAAGAAGTTCATGAAGATGTGAAATTCTGGAGGGGTGAATTGTGAATATTTACAGACAGCAATGGACTACAATCTGGCAGCACTCAAGCTGCTATGCATACATCTAAAGAAGGCCCAGCAAGTGATTTCTGACTCCCAGTCCTCCTTCAGTCTTGGAGGTATTCTGTTTCAGCGTGCTTGGATCCAGGTAAGCATTCAGCTTACTTCATAAGTTACATCGTCCTTCTCATATGTCCTGTCAAAAATGATTTTAATTCTGAGAAGTGTTGAATGCTACATACTTATGGTAGGGCATTTTAGTCTCGGCAGTGCCTTCCTCTTCCTCCACGGCCCCCAGTGAAACTGGCTGCCGCTTCCTCCTTGATGATGGCACCGGAATCATTGAACTCATCCTGTCGGGTGATTTCCGTAACCGCCATTGGGAAACAGGTTAGTATCGAACCCACGTTCTAGGTTGTTTTTTTCACTGAGAACAAAAGGGAGTAACACCTCTCTCTTCTTTTGTGTGTAAATGTCCAGGAATGTATGTCATGGTGGTTGGAGGTTATTTTATACAGACAGGTGATGTACCCATGATTAAGGTGAGTCACTAATGTAGACTACACATTGTTGTTCTTCTTTGTACACTTTTATGTCTAGGCAGCTTTTGCTGAACGCTGCTAAAAAATACGGACCGCATTTTTACCTGTGGAATTTAGTTGTTCAAGTCTGGAAATTTCTTGCTGGTTATGTAGGGTTTTTAACTTAAATTAGAGGCACATTACTTTTCAGAACTGTTAATGACTTAATGGACCATAATAGGCTACTTAGTACTTGGATGTTTTCCTTGAGTTTGTCTAGTGCTCTTTGGTGATGTTTGGATTTGATGTAAGGTAAGAGGCCTAAAGGAATTGTTTTCAGATGCTTTACAATGTATTGTAATGGTTTAGTTACATTAGTTGCTTTTGAAGTCTGAGTTGATTGGGCAAATTGCCTGCTACAAGATAGAATAGTCTTTATTGAATTTCCTTTGTGCTGATTTTCTTATTTTGAATTACTGAAATTCTAATACTAATTTCTTACCTTTCTATGAAAACAGAGTGGAAAGATCTCCTTTATCTTTATATGCTATAAATCTGGGAGTTCAGTTGTGGTTGTCTATATAGGCTCGAGCAACAGTTGCTTTGTTTTCCCCTATTTTTCTAGGTCACAAATATGTCTGCATTATACGTGTCAAGGCTTCCAGGTTTTTAATTTATATTTTAGGATATATCTGTTATATAGTTACAGCTTCTGTATCTGTTGATTCAGCATTTGTTTTGGGTATCTTAATAACTTGCTTTGATGGTTCATGAATAATTGGCTGTGGTCCATGATGTGACTATACAAACCGTGAAGACTTTTATAGCAATCTTTCTAACTGGAGTCCTCTTCTGGACAAGCCTACAAACTCCATGGACTTATCCAATGAATGCAAATAAACTTTCCATATATGTTTCCAGTTCTTGGTCTAATGGTTCTTTCAAGTAGGAAACCTTTCATGTTATATCAATTAGAAGCATGATTCTCTACAATTTCAGGTTCACAAGATTGTTGATCTTTCTGCATTTCCTGATCGAGAGGCAATGTGGTATCTTGAAGTCATGGAGGCCTTCAAACTTTTCTACCAGCCCTCTATTTGAAGAGTAACAGAGGGAAATTAGTCAGATTGACATATTCATGTTTGTTAAGCGATACCCGTTGCTTTTTTTTTCCTTGTCTCGGGGGGATATGATTATTGATATTGTTCTTTGGCTTTAATAGTGAGCTTTTGTTCTTTGTTTTTCTTTTTTCTTTTTTTTTTGGAATATTAAGAGTGGTTGTTAAGTAAAATTTAATTATAGATACTGGTTATGGATAATAATCAGAATCAGCAAAAACTACTCTTTAGTTGATTATAGATTTTAGCTTTTTTCTTTTAGTTACTAAAAATCTATAATTAGAATACAAAACCAACCAAAAACATGACAAAAACTGATTATTCAAAATCAGAATTTACAATCAGTTAAAATAAACAACCAAGAACAAGCCAGTGGTAGGCTATATCATCTACCTTCAACTTATCGTTAAAAGTAGTTCTCTGGTTAAATAGCATTCCTGGTCCCTTTCTTTATGTCGATTCCTTCTCTTTTACCCCCAAGAGATGCAAAAGTCAGATATTTATACATCTGTTTAAGGGTGTTAGAAAAGGTAAAAGTGTCAATCGTAGTTGTTCAATGTGAAGTTCAAATCCTGTACTTTTCTACCTCAAAAATGATGCTGATCCAATATCATGTTTAAGCAACCAAAAAAGTGTTTCAATTGCATATCATGTACAGGAAAGAGGAAGCAATGCTAACAATAATCCGTAAACACGGCTCTATTTGAAAGGAACATCAGATAAAAGAGGACGTTTTCTCACATTCTAAACATTTACGACAATGCTGCAGCAATTTATTGACATCTCCTTCATTCACAACGTTTACCTCTGATAAAGGAGCATCCTTGAGCTGAGCTTTCAAGAATTCCCATTGCTTCAGAATATCAAAAATTCTTCTGAGCTATTGAGGAGGTGAAGGAGAACCATAGTAAGACATATGGTTGGCAGACAAAAAAGTAGAAATTACGAGGCAGAATTGAGAACAAACTTGATGGACAAAGTGTAATAATATTGAAAGAAAGGATACAGTTCTGGTTCTAGTTCTTCGATATGTGCCATCAGTAAAGCTCTTGCCTTCCTCACTTGCATCAGCTAATTGAAGGTCTACGAATTCCTCTTCAATCACATCCGATTTGCTCACAAGTATCGAGATATACTGATGCAGACTTGACGGGTTACACTCACTAACTTCTATACAAATCAATAGTCTTTCAAGAATGCTCCAAAGTGCACCTTTTGCTTCTATGTCATCGTAAGCAAAAGGGATTATATCGAATATGCCCTGTGAAAAACAAAAATCTGGCAGAACCAAAATGTCATTGCTAATTATGCATAAGTTTCTCATGCTTGACACAAAGATTGCAAGAAGGCCCTTCAAAGACCCTGAAAAGTTTAACCTTGTGATATTTCACTAGCAAGATGTTCTACTTCAGGCAGGATATTTGCAACCAAAACTGCTGCAGTTACGCAAGAACTGGCAACCTGCAGGAAAGAACAGCCACATCATTTATGCCCACTACAGCTCCCTTAAAATAACCTGATAAGCTGATTCACATTTTCCCTGTTCAGCACCAATTTCCTACTAGGCATGTGCTATTGAACCACCTGGACTAAATTTATTGATTATGCTGCATCTAAACTTTGATAATAGTAACTCTTTACAGATTAATGGTCCATCGTTGTGGTTTAATAACACTTAAAACACACGAAGGAAATACTGTTAACCTAATAATAAAGTGATTTGTACATTATAGGATATTGCACCTGGACACGAAAGGAATACAATTAGTTGAAACTAAAGTACTTTACAAGGCCATTACCACCGCATGGTGATGCCCATGCTCAATGACCTATCCTGACTGTTATTAGCTGTTTATTATTTCAAAAAATTAATTAAGTTTTCATAAGGACCCCCAAATTAATTGAAAAAATTAAAAATTATCAACTAGCTCAGTTGCAAAATTTTCTATGCATAAAGCTGCAAGTTTTTTCAACAACAGGTGGAGGCACCTTAGCAGAACTAACACACCCAGGAACAAATGATTAGAAATTTTCTCACATTTAATCCTAGTAGCCATGAAAATTCCAGAATGAGCCCAGCTATTGCTTGGCCTTCATCAGATCATTGCTCGACATGATTCTGCAATTTCCTCACTTAACAAGATGCATTCTATATGTAACTCGCAATATGTATATGACCAAGGAAGTTTCCAGAAAGTTTTGCTTTAAAGGGGTCCCCGTACAAAGCCTCTTGTTTCTAATATAAGTACAGATTGTTTCCCTCAACCAGGAAGATAAGTTAGAAAGTGAATTTTGGTGGAAGATCTTCAAGAAATATAGGGCCTCCTTTCTTGCTGTTGCAACCTTAGATCAGAAATGGGAATTAAGAGTTGCAGCAGCAGAACACAGAATGGTCAGGCTCAACTGGAAGTGCAGCACCCATGGCAAACCAAGTGACGATGTAAGTTATTGGGAATCTAAACCTGGTAAGGTTGCAAGAGAAAGGTATTTGGCAATTTTAGAAAACAAACTTAGAGCTCTGATACTGAATATCAATATGATGCACATTGGTAAAGCCAGGACCACAGGGCAGGGGCTCTAGGATGTGATAGTTGAGGGTATCTTTTAGTATGAGACGATGTAACCATCAGCATGCCAAGAGGAACAGGAGTTGCAGTGACTTTCTTCAAAGTCTAACACTGAATATTGACTTATGATTAGGTGGCTTCGACCACCTGTGGCACATGAGGGTAGTTGTATATATTGAAAATTAAAATTCTTCTTTGCAATTTGCATAAGTATTTTGTCTTGAAGCAGCTTGAAGAGTTTATTCTTAACATCACATCTATGACCAATTTAGGAAAGGTCCAAAACACTTGTGGAAGGTGATTCATCCTGAAGTAGTCCTTTTAGGGGGATAGATGAGGGAATTTCATCAGCAACTAAGACGCAATTGTTAAACCTTTGTACTTTTCTACCCACAGAGTAATCAAATTTGCTGCACATGGGGGGTTGTTGGGGGGGGGGGGGGTTCTGAAAGCAGCTATGCACCTCGGTTTTATCAGGAAGCCTGATCAGGTCATTGAGTAGCTTGAAGAGTTCCCTATTGGAACATATATATGGTGAAAAATCATCAGCAGCAGAAAGAGCTTCAAGTGCCTGGAGAATTATGTCCACAACGGGGTACCTGATGCACCATATTTTAATTAATTAGTAAGAAAGATTCCCACTGCTTGATAGCACTTCAGTCAAGAATCAACAAAAGCTACAGTAATGAAGTACACTAGCATGGGACATCACAAGAAAAAGATGCTTCTGAAATACTTGGAAGTTTATCGCACATTTTCAGCAACAGAAAAAAAAGATTCAAGCACAGACACAGGAGAAAGCACAGTTTTTGTTTTTGTCCCCTCTGCTACAAAAAGCATAGTAAAACAGAACATAGATTCAGAAACCACTCATGCTGGATCAGTAATTACATTAAAGAGGTCCGAAAAATATCAGTCTGAGAAGGTTCAAAGAAGATAGAGTCATCTTGAAGTTTACAAGAGCGATACAATACTTCTAAACATCTAAACCTGGAACCACAGTTCCACTAATAGAAGAGAAGAGAAGTACCTTTCAGGCATTCGCTCTTCTGTCAGCTTGCTCATTTCAAAAGCAAAAAGGTTAATCAGAAGATTTGGAAGACCCAACTTCATCAAAGGTGGTAGAAGAACCCTAGCTATCTCCTGTTCGCTTCCCAATATTGCTGAAAGTAAACCAACACTCTGTTTAAGACAAGAATTTGACAGAACATGAGAAAACTGTGGATATGATGTTCACAGTTTAGACTAGTCTAAAGATTAAGAAACTTCACAAGGTAAACAAAGAATTACATTTCTCAACTAACTCGAAATGAGCATCCAAGAATGCTCTTACTGTCCAAGACTGAAAACTCCCTATCTATTAAATTGACTAAATGACAGACATAATTCAATACAAAAGCAAATCTTCTAGCAATCTAACATTGCTAATTCCCAAACAACAAGAGGCATGAGTGAATCATTCTTTAGGATTGAAGTCCTGTATCTTGACTTGTAAGATATTGCAAAATTTTCTTTTTTATTATGGCCAAGTAAAATAAGAATGTGTTTCGAGCATCATGGGAGTGCATCCCAAAGCAGCACAGAAAGTAAAGCATATGAGATCATGGAAAAGCTTGAAGCACAAGCCTGTACTACAGCTCCTTGCTTAAGCAAATGTTTTGCTCACTTTCAACTAGTATGTGCCAAACTCCATTACTTCGCGTATAGTTTGTTAAACATGGATTTCCCCAACTCCGCCAACGAAAATTAAATGGATGCAAATTAAGTATGATTAGGAAAAGCATCAATCAATGAATCGGGGGAAAATTTGAACTGCACACATACATAGTTTTGAAAAAAATAAAGCCAACAGACATAAAAACTGGTGCTATTGTGTAAAAGAATATACAAAAATACTTCAAAATGAATCCAACAAGCTAGACCTCATTAACCAATGGCTCAGCTTCCAGAACAAAGTGAGATCAGATAAAAGCTCATTACCTTTTCTATGAGCGGCAGATTCAAGGTGTTCTCAGCAATCCACAAAATACGGGATAGAATATGCTCAGGTGTTAATGCTTCTGTCCAAACAACACCTTCACCACTTTGAAAACATAATGTTATTACCCTGCATGACATAAGAAAAGCTCAATGCACCGAATGTAAATCTCAAAATATGCAGAACAAGTACTATCATGAAAGACTACCTCATATGTAAAACATTCAGGTCACAGAAAACGCAAAAAGATCAAGAACAGTCCAAATACATAGAATGTCCTACAAATCAGAGAGGAAGAAGCTAAAAAATCTCAAATACAGAGACATAAATGCCTATATGTAACCTAGGGAAAATAGTTAGTGCAGGTAGCAACTACCTAACAATAAAAAGAGACAAGAGCACAGTTAAACACCCCCTGCCCCCCCTCCCGGCACACCTTTCCCCCATTGGAGGCACTAAAGAGGTCTCCCGTCCCTTAGATGGGTAAACCAGAGTACTCAATTCAGTCTAGAAACATTATGACAGACGCTTGCTATTTGGGGTTGGGCTCTCTTCAGAGTCTACAAATTGCAATAATATAAATTAAAATGAAGTAATACAACACTGGAAAACACGTCTCAAAATTAGACAACTAGTTTTGGGGTAAAAATGCTGCATAATTTCGAAATAA